AGCAACTCAACAAAGTTTTGTGTGTTATACAGGGAGGCTCCAGCCTCCCTGTATAACAGCTGGACTTCCTGAGGTCCAGCCTCTTACCCTTTTATTTACCATTTTCATACAACTTTCATCGCTAAAACAGTGTAGCGTTTTGTAAATTAAAATGATATAGCCATAGGGCGAGTCTTTCGAAACATTTTAATAAAAGGACCCTTTCGTATACTAAAAATAACTAGTGAATTTCCAGCACCTGTTCGATATACCAGAAGCTTGAAAAAGGTACCCCTTACGAGTGAAGCCCCACCTCAGGGGTGTAGGCCATTATACGGAGTGCCCCCTGGAGGGCTCAATAAAGCCAGGGAAGGTCCATTTATACCGTATAAAGAACTAAAAATAAAAGCCAGAACGGGAATTGAGGACTGACGTCAGAAGTGCCAGCACAATGGATAATTTATCTTAGCAGTCAGATTCTTTTGAGTAGGTCGAATCGTTCCCAGTCCTTCTTATTTGTTGTTATTGAGAGCTATGATGCCTGGGGGTGAGCTTTGCTCTTTGAAAGACAAAACTGAAAAGTGGGTGTGTTGTTTCCAATTTATTTCGTTTGGTCCTTTTCTGATCATCATTTTGAATTCTTGGTCTTAGCTAACCCAAAGCTCTGTCACTACCCTTGAACGTTAACAAGCAATTCTTACCATAATAGGTTAAGCGATCTGTTTTAAAACACCTTCTTCTGTTTAAAGTATTTTGCCATAAGCAGACATCCGCCAGTGCACGAGATTATTTTAGCAGGAAATGCATTAGAACTATTCTCCTTTCCCTCTTGCCAGTTGAGCAATCCATTATTTTTTGTAAAACGAAAACGTACTTAATGATGATCGGAGCATGCAGTTTTGAGCGAGGTGAAAACTAAAATGCCTTTCTTGCATCCCATAAGCCATAAGACTAAACTACAAAAAGAAACGAAAAGAATAACTTACAGGAAAGAGAAAGAAGTAACGTTGTTCATAATCCAGCTACATAATTATTCAGTTTTAACTTATAAATTTTACACGAATATTCATGAACGGGTGGTAAATACGATGCAGCTTGGTCGCAAATACATCCACCCATCCACCTATTTTTAAAAAGACTACAAAGCAAAGTAAAAACTGTTTTATTAATTTTAATCTTGCAGTACCAAGCACAGCTCCTCCTACTCCTACAACTGGTGAGTGAGTTTTCTAAGGAAGACCCCAACCCTCCAACCTCATTCTACGAGATAATCAAAACTGGTTTTCCGACTGGGAGCATCCGTTTATTGATAAACCAATGGTCATAAATGTGCCCGCTGTACCAAGCGCACTGCTATAAGCTTGTGTTAGAATATTATATCCCAGCAACAAGCAGCAAATTCAAGCAAGATCTCCCTTAATTCATTACGTTCTCGACTACGCCGCCAACACAAAATCGAGAAGTGAAAGGGAGGCTTTGATAATAGGCCACAGTTGCAATTATAAAATACATGACTCACATTCTTTTGCGATCGATCAATTGCTAGATTTGAACGAGTGCCTCTCTTCACCCTGTGACGCCAACTCGACAAAATATGGGATCGAGGCTCCAGCCCGAGGTCCAGCCTCTTACCCTTTTATTTACCATTTTCATATCTGCACCTTTCATCGCTAAAACAGGGAGTATTCTTCTGGGTGTTTTGTCTGCAATATTTTTTTCGTTTGATCCTTTTCCGGATCAAATCTTTCCCAGGGGTAGAGGGAAAGAAGGCTGCGGAAGATTTGTCTTTAACGTTCTTTTTACTCTTTTTCTTTTAGCTATCTGTCAAGACATTGCCTCCTCTTGCGCTCAGTTAAGTTTTTTCTGGTGTTCTTCGGCTCCAAGCTCCTGCCTGAGGACCTGCAATAGATGTCCTGCATAAAGTCACAGCAATGATCGAGA